TTATGCAATGAAAAAATATTCTAATTACATTCACTGCACAGCAAAAATTCGTCCCTCTCAAGGGAAAATCCCATGTAAATCACCGATTGATTGCAATTTCTATTCATAACATTGAACTTGAGCACGTCCAGTCATGAATTTTCCCATTGAAAATGCATATTGAACGCAGTCGAATTGTTTACAAACATGTCGCAAGGGAGATAGAAAAATTTTTAATGAAATACCATCAAATTTAACGAAAATATTATTGAACTGCAAATTTTATACTCCGTGCTTACAGAAGCTCCCATCTGAAGTGCAATAATTGCTGTTTCTGAGCTTCGGTGAATTAACAAATGAGATATTATAGATGCAGATATATTTCCCAATAAAACAAATAACTCCTGACGCACCCCCGGAGGCAATCAATGGCAAAGTGCTCAGGATGCGAAGCTTGAGAAGTACAACATATGCAGAAACATGTACAACGACAAACACACACACAGTTTGACTGGGGAATTTACGATGAAACTTTGATAAATTGAAAACGAAAGCAATCTAATATAATTTTATATACTTTTATGATATCTTTTCTATCCTCCCCTCCTATTGACCGACTTTTTTTGCCTCACAGTTATAAAAATTCAATTTTACGCTTGTCCGAACACTCAAAAAATTCCATTTGTTCAAATTAAATTGCAATATTGAAGTATTTTCTGCTGTTACAGTCAAATATATTTCCATCTCATATGCGTATAATATTTCCAATTGAAAAAAAAAACCAATAAATAACTTCAAATGTGTGAATATTTGTGCGAAAATCTTCGAAAACAAACACGCTAGGCGTGAAAGAAACTCTTCCTTCGGGGCGGAAAAATACAGACATTGGAATGAGTGTGAAGATGATTTTTGCCAACTTTTGCGCTCACCATTGTATGTGTAGTTTTCGCTATTTAGTGTCCGTACTTTTGCCAAAAAATATGGAATTTCACAAACTGAGCGGAAGAGAGAAACGACGATTTCGCGAAAAAACAGGTCACACTAAAAGGGTTGATAATATTGGAAAGAGAGTGACAAATTGTTGAAATTTCCTTATTCTTCGCGAATAAGAAGCAGATTTTTAATCTTGTACTCAAGCTTTAATCGGATATTTACGGTTTTAGGTACTTTGAAAACGTTTAGAATAAAAAAAAAATTATTTTCAAAATTTAATACTTTTAAATTTGATATTTTAAAATGAAAAATAAAAAATTACAATTATTAATAAATAATAAAATTTTTAGAATTGCAAATTTCAAAAATGAAAAAAATTCTTAACTTTAATTTTCAAAATTGAAAATTTAAAAATGACAAAAATTAAAATTAAAAAAATATAGATTTTAAAAATGAAAAATTAATTTGATTAGAAAAATTTAATTTTTGAAATCCTAAATTTTAAAATAATTTCATTTGTTTGTACTTATTTTTTAATAATTCTGATGAAAATGTGTTTGTTTTACCACCAAATTTAAAGCCAAGAGTAGAGAAAAATTAATAATTTCCCTTAAAATTTACCCTTAAATTCTTTTTAAACTCACAAAATACGGTTTTGGCTTAATTTCTGTATTTAAAACCAATTTATATGTATTTTTATGATTCAAAATCTATTTTTATACCTTAAAACTCAATTTTTAACCCTTTTTCTACACAGAATTCTCTCCGGAAATTTCTTTGACACTCAAAAACTCTTATTAGCAACCCCTTTGAAACATACTAAAATACATAAAGAAGAAACAGAGACAAATGGAGGAAACTTTGTGCAAAATCAACTCTTTTTCTCTCAGTTCTAAATACCAAAAAATAAACGAGAAAATTTATACTCAACAAAGGATCAATTTTTCATTGGCTTTCTTTTCAAAGAAAGCCTCATGAATTGGTCATTTTCTGTGCTTTTCCTGTTGACGGCGGGGAAAAAAGTATTAATTTTCCCGTCAGGTCACACAAAATGACACCTAATCATATCACCTGTTACACCACAAAGGCCACAACTTTGCTTTTTGATGGTTGCAACCATTTCCTTTGTTCTCCACACAACGTCATAAATATTTTTGCTCGAGAGGAAAGTACAATATTGCTCGGTTGCACCATAAATTATTTGCTCGCGCTTGTTTGTGTGTGCATTTTGCAACACAATGAAAGAGGTTTGATATGGTTAATTAAAGGGAAATTTTGCAATATCATAAGCCACATTGATGCTTCTCTGCCCAATTGCACTCGCAGTTTATATTGATAATGCAATTTGATGTTAATTAAATCTCCAATGATATTCATTTTGATTTTCCTCCTGCATAATGAATCACCCAGTGAAAAATCCCTGCAATTAATCTCATTAAACTTTCAAGTTGTGTGTTTTTACAGTCAATAAACACAAAACAGACAAGTTGCAATGGTTTGCAATTAACATTGATTTCCTCAACACAAAATATATTAAGGCTATTTTTTGTCTCTAAAATGCACACAACTTTTGCACAATAAATACAATCACACGTCTTTCTAACTCTTCGCCATGGCCTCTTGCCACCCCCCCTTTTTACCCTCTCTGAGAAGTAACTATGCAATTTTAAGTGGTACAAAACTATTGCTGGAATGCAGAGAAGGGAAAAAAAATCACGAAATCGCGCTCTCCGGCGATGCTGACACCTTGCGAGCCTTTCCCGTACTAACGCCAAGCAGAAGCTGCATCCAAAGCTTTTCCCCCAAATCGCACACCACACTTTCAACCCTCCCGTTATTAGGTTATCTAGGGGTTGCCATGTGTCGCCATATTGAAAGTGTGCGTGCGCTTTCGCGCTTCCAATTCAAACTTTCTCACAGTTACACTGTGAGAATTTCCCTCACAATAAAACCAGTCACACCCTCGAATCAACACACAATTTCCCGCACTTTTCCAACCCAGCAATACTACAGCTCGGCTTTTTATGTGAAAATTATGGAATTTTAGTGTGGAGAAAATGGGACAATTAAGTTACGAGACTTTTTTCTCCAACCCTCCTTCATCTTATCCTCAACAAGGGGCGGGAAATTGAATTAAAATATTCCCGCCTTGTGTGTGGAATGTGTGTCGCGAAGAGAGAGGGTGAAAGAAAATGAGGGGAATATTTATATGAAACGGAAGAATGCACGGAAACACTGTTCAACAAGTTTTGCCCACACATAAAACATAGTTTATTACGCAAGGCGAGTAAAAAGCTTCTTTTTTCCACTCCCCTTTTTTCCACAGTGTTGTAAACCGTCGAATGCTGCGAGTGGATAAAATTTATGATATTCCAATATAATATATAGGTGAAGAAAATATAAGGGAAAATTGATAATACATCTATTAGTGCCATCTATGGAGGGCTTTCGGAACTCAAGCAAATGGTTCACTTCATTGTTCAACATTCGCCAAATGGAGAGAAAGACTTTTGCCTCAACTTTTCCCCGCCCAAACCATAACAATTTCCCATGGAAATTTCTCCCGCAATTCTTCCGGAATGGACAGAAAAAGTTCATTAGTGCCAGTAAACACAAAAAAAAGAACGGAAAAGAGAAAACTATTGAAAACTAACATAATAAAGTTTACATTTCCATTAATTTCCGCTACAAACAGAATCATTCATTAATTTTTCTTCAATTATTCCGTAGAGTTTGGAACATTTTTACGAGACACACAGGAAAAGAGCAAAAACTTTGCTTTTCTAATTATGCCAAGAGCTTTTTTTCCCATGCACAACTTTTGATTATTACGCTTTGTGCTCAATTATTCACTGCACTTTGCGAGAGTGTGAAAAAAAGTCAATTTCAATAGTGATTTCAGATCATTAACTCTACAAATATATCGGAATTTTGTGATTTTTAGCGAATTTTTGAATATTGAAAAGCTTTTTATCTGTTTTAACTACTAAAAAAATTGAGATTTTTATTTTTCTTGATTTTACAGCGTTTTATTTGCGTTTCTTTAACGTTATAAATTGAGAATTGCATGATTTTCTTAACATGTTTATAGATTTTGACAGAGAAATTAATTTTTTAAAACTAAATAAATAGTATGAAAAATTGATTTTTCAGAATTAAGTCATGAAATAATTATTATACAATCAATATTAAAATTTAATGAACGATTAGAAGCTTTCTGAGGTAAATTTGCGTAAATTTTGGGGCCATTTCAAATCAATTTGCAGCATTTATTCAATCATTCATTTATGATTTAATATTTCATAATTCGCTTCAGTCAAAACTCCACAATTTATTCGCAATATCACTCCAAATTCCCTCCTTTTCTCAATGACTTTTTCCTGCTTTCCTAGACATTTTTTTTTTGGAGCGAAAGCAAAATACATTTTCAACCCCCACAAATTCAACACCTCAAAAATGCTGCATAATTGCGCGGTGACTCGTGAATTGCAAAAGTTAAACTGAGAGAACCGCGCGCGATGGTTGAGGGCGAAAATGGAGCCACATTAATAAATTAAAATGAGATTAAAGTGCATGGCAAGAGAGATATACTGCGTATTTTCTTCTCATTCGCATAAAATTCTCATTTTATATATGGCTGGCAAAATCGTACTTAATTTACGGGCGACAATCCACTATGCAAATAAACATTGTCGGATTTTGTGGGATGGAGATGAATGTTTTCATCGCCATTTGAGGGCAATTGTCATTATCCAGAGAGAGTCACACACACACACAGTGGAATGTATTTCGACATTAAATTTAATCACCTCGCCCAGGAGGAGAGAAAAGAGAGAAATTGTGGAGGAGTCAGAAGGGAAAGCGATTTTGCCATGAGAATTGCAAAGCGCAACGGATGAAATCCAGGTTATTCCAACTCCTTTTTCTCTCTCCTCGTCGGGGTGAGTATGAAAAATTGCAATCTGGGCATCGTGGCAGAAAAAAAGAGCGTGGAATAATTCAGCGATGAGTGGGGCGAAAGGTCCACGGACAGGGTGGAATTGTAGGGTGGAAAACATTGGCGTCGCTTGGCAGCAGTAAAAACTCACCTGAATATGTGGAAGTGAGAGCAACTGCAGCATTTCAGCCTTTTCACGGCTGAATTTGTGTCCATGTGCCAGGGAAATCGCCTCGACGGCATCTCGACATCGCGCCACTCCATCTCCCGGCGGCGCACGTGATGGCGACATTACGTTGCAACTGATGCGATCGTACAGCTTGCGAAGTGAGAGAGAAAAGAAGAGGGATTAATTTACATCGCGAGCACATAAATTATAATTGAACCAGGATTATTAAGCATTCATTTGTGCTGAACACAAGGGGGAGATAATACGGTCAGAAGTGGTGTACAGCTCAGCAGAAGTACTTAAGAGCGATTACAGACTTGCCGCTTATCCACGAATCGACGGGAACTGGGATCAATCCTCCGTGGATGAGCCTGTAGTGTGTAAAGGTCAGATCAGCGATAATTCGTGGTTGATCTGCGCCTTTACACACTCAATTATGGATTAGCCATATTTGTGGCTGATCTAGCGCTGTACACACTCAGGGATTATTTTTCTTTGTCGCCACTAGCGACACTGTGTTTTGGTGTATTCAGCTGTCAGTTGATTTTGCGTATTTCAAAAGTGTGAAATTTTACATTAAAATTGCGAAAATTATTGACTCGCAGAAGATTTTTAATGATTTTTAATAATCCAGGTAATTATTCGCAAGAGATTCGCCATTTTGCCTTTCCTTAGTCGTGCAATGTTTCGGCGCATTTTCGCACGAGCGCGCTGCTATCGGGAACCCCAAAATATCGGCTGAATCTTCGATATATCGAGGGAATGTTCGCGTTTTCTGGCAAAACGAACTGTCAGTCGTTCACACTTGCGCTTATCCTCCCGTGGATCATCAGCAAGTCTGTAATCGCTTTAAGAAATGGAAGTGTTGAAAAACCTACAATATTTCTTCCCGAAGTGCTTATTTTACCGACAAATTGTCCCATTTCTTTGGATTTCCTTCGATTTTCATGCAGAAACAATCATAACATTCTTTTTTCTAGGTTATGTAACACATCAAGAACAGATTTTAGCACATCAATTCTTATGTTTAAGTCAGAGAAATCAGTAGTAATTGGCAGAATAAATTATTTATATAGAATAAATTGTGCTTTTCTGAATATTTCATGCCAAGAAACACTTTACATTATATTAAACTCGAACATAACCTCAAAAATAGTCATGTGGAATTGAAAAATGTTTATTTAGAAAACTTTTCGGGCAATTTTGACTCTGAATTGGTAGTTTTTAGTTCATTTTGTGATCTAGAAAGCTTCGAAATGGAGTTTTTGAAGATCTAAAAGTGATAATTTTGAGGTTATGGTCCGAAAAGATGCCGAAAAATGCGTTTTTAAGTTGATTCTCACAGAAATATCGGATGGAAACTTAAAAGATTCATTAATAATTTGTCGAATTGACTTGGAAACAGTCTAAAAACTTCATGTTCTAGAAGTGTCAGGCAAATTTGGAAGTGTTTGGAAGTGTTGCACAGAGATTTAAGGGTATATTATCTCCCCCTTGTGCTGAAGCTGAAGAATCTCATTTCACCTCCCTTCAGCATCTTTCTAATCCTTTTCCACCCCCAAAAAAATAACACCTCGCTCGTGTTTTGTATATTCATAACTCTCATCTTCACTTAATTGGACTAAATGAAGACATATAATATTCTGGCTCTCTCCCGCTCTCTTATCTCAACTATGCACTTTTGCTCTGCACAGACTTTTATTATTTATTCATACATGGAAAATCCTGTCGAAATTTAATCCTCGCCTCATTTTTCACATGGAAAAAAAACTTGCAAACTTGGCAATGATATCAAAAAAAAATCCTCTTTACTTTTGAAGGGGGAAAAATTTTCCCCAAGAACATTCATCAATTAGTAAATAGAGGAGACATTTTAGATTAAAAAAAAACATCCTGCAGATACTTTATGTTGTTTGTGTCGCCTTCACAAGAGAAAGAGAGACTTTTAATGAAGATATGCTGGATAAACTTTCTTTTGTGGCACAAAGATTAAACTTTCCACCTAATGGAACTTAAGTTAAGTGTCACAAAAGTGAGATAAAAGTTGTCTTTTCCCATTCAATTTCCACCTCTAATCAATCTTCAAAGAATGCAGTTGAAAATTTGTAATAAATGACATTTTTTGAATGGAAATTTCATTGATTTTCTTTCCCCTTTTCATGCCACACAATTTTAAACCTCCACAACTTGAATTGCTTCATATCACACAAATATTTATGTTATCATTTTCTCCCAGGAAATTTCCTCAAAACCCTCAACGTGAGATTCCCACAAATTCCAAAGTTTCCACCTCTGTGTGTGTGTGTCTCAGAATTGAGCGGTTTTCTCATCAACAGTTGAATTATTTTAGCGAATAATTTGCATATCACATCACAAAGACACACAATTTTGCAATTATACGAAACTTTAGGAGAATTCAACCCCAAAAATGCTTCATTTCCTGCTGTGAAACACCCCCAAAAACATGCAGGATGCAGAATTCTAGCATCTTTTTCTCTACCTGCAACAGAGTGTGAAGTCGAGTGTCTCGTAAAATGTCTCGCAGCACATCCGGATCGACGAATGGATCTTGCACGGCATGAATGTCGTCTAAGGAATCCAACACTTTTTGCACAGCCTCCAATCCCGCCTCCTCGTCTGCCCACTCGTTCAGTGACTCCGACGCCGTCCCAACAGCCACTGAGGGGCGCAGATGAAGAGATAAAGGGGAAATTAGGGATTAATGGTGTCACTTTTGAGATGTTCACATTATATTTTACACTCCCAAGTGTGCACTTAATGTGCCGCACAGACACACACACGTCACGCCAAGAGGAAGGTAAGTTCTGGCTCACTTGTGTGCATCTCATTACGGTTGGAAGACGCTGTTGAGCTCCCGTGTAGAGTGCTAGGAAGTTCTTATTAGGAAGCTCTCGAAAGCTTCCCAAATTGGCGCAACAGTTAAATGTGCCTTTTGGGATGCATTTGCTTAGAAAAGTCACTTTTAATGCATTTCTCCAGTGCTTTATCGCTTTTTAAGGTGAAGTAATTGAAGTTATCGACAATTGTCGACACTTATCGACACAATTAACGTGATATTTATATTTTTAAACACAATTTAAGGGAAAAAGTAGTTAAAATCGAATGTCAAAAAACTAAAGAGTCAATTTCAGTCCCATTTTCCAGAAAAATTGTGTTTTAATAAGGAAATTTCACGCAAGTCGTATCGATAACTATCGATAACTTTCATGATGATGTTATGCTACTAATTTAAAATGGATTCAGTCAAGCAATCTTACGCGAAACATCAATTTTGCATCCAAACTCGAAGAATTTCAACTTATTTGCAGAATATAATAATTACACTTAATCTGAATTTCCGTCAATTTTTGCTCTATAAAGATTCTTAATGAAATTCTCGAAGATATTTGAATATACACATGTTAATTGTGCTGACAATTAGAATCATTTAATTGAGAGAAAGTTTGTCTCTTCATCATATTATTGGGATTTTGAGTATTTTATCGAAATATCTCAAGAGTTGTTCAGTGTTTAGTGACATTATCTGCCCCTTGGCGGGACATTTGCTGAAGGATGTCGTGAAGGAAGCACTTAAAATCCCTCCTTCAGCCCCAAAATGCGTGAAAGACGCCAATATAATCAGCCACAGCCTTACCTTCACTCCCAGAGTTCTACTGTATAAATTAATAAACACATTACTTGAATCGGCGTCAGCGCCACAAAGTGGATCCATGGCGATGCCGCCGGCGACAGCCTGAACAGCACCTTTCAACTTGCGACGTGCATTGAAGCGCTTCAACTCCTCCACAGTGTCGGCCAAATGCTGTCGCTGGAGCTTATCACGGTCCTGTTAATCAAGATGCCATATTTCCCCATTATTTCCACCTCCTCCTCTTCATGCTTGATGGTCAACTCAGTTATCTCTCCGATGGCAAATCAATAGCCACAATTCTCGAAGGAACACAAACACACACACACACACAAACTCACCCTTATCCACGGATGCTCCAGTATTTCTGCTATTGATGGTCGATTTCCAGGATGCGGTGCCAGCATTTTCATCACTAAATCTTTGGCCGTTGCAGAGATTTGCTTCCATTCCGGAGCGTCCAATTGTACATAGTTCTGTACAATTTGTCAGTTTTATTGTGCAAACACGAAGCCATTGCACCAGTGAAATGAGAAGAAAACATCCTTATATTCTATCTTATGTACAAAGAACAAATTTTCCCACACATTCTCTAATACTGAGCGAAGAGTGGAAACATTGTGGACATTAGGATGGTCAGAATATCATGCAATTTTGCTTCCGGTGAGGAATAAATTGCTTCAAGACAAATATATATACTGCAATTGGGAAGTCACTCGCCCAATAGTGACATTCAAGAAGATGTTTCTCAGTCAAGCAACCAATGAAAAATGCAACACTTTTGGGCGAATTGAAGAAAAATGCTTTTCTTAACAAATTAAAGCTCAATTTGTTGTGTTTGAGTGAGAATTTCTCCAATATTTGGCTCATTTTGACTGACTTTTAGCGCTCTGAAGAAAATTCTCAATTTTGAAAGTCAAAAAATGACCGCCAGATGGCGCTAAAGTCTAGTTTTTACGATAAAAGGAGATTTTCTGCATTTTGCAGTGAAATATTCATAGAAATGTCATTTCTTGATGGATTTGCAAGATTAATGGCGATCTAGAAAGCTAACTTCACAGCCTACAACTCTCTAGAACGCACGATTTCTGTGTATTGTATAATTACAGTAGAAATTACACGCAAAAATCATGGAGAAAATGGAATTTCTCATGTGTTCACAAACACGAATCAGATTTTATGTGTGTAAATCGTGTAAATGTTGTAATATAATGGAAATTAAATTAAATTCGCTCTACATCAGCTCATTAAGGGATGATTGTCTCTCCGCCATTTACCGTGCGGAAGACATACACACAGGGTGAGACGGGGCAATAAATAAGATGGCTTACAAGTACACCAACCGTCATTCGCCCACGTGAGACGATGTCTTGGATCCTCTTTCCAGAGCCCAGGAACGGAAGTCGTCCCGACAGCAACACGTGCAGCATCACGCCAGCGCCCCACACATCGCACGCCTTCCCGTATGTGCGCCTCGTCACCACTTCCGGCGCCATATAGTGCGGACTGCCGACACGTCCTGTGACAGAGGCGAGGAAAAATCATAAATTCCACATAATTGTCTCTCCATTTCGACGGGTGAATCGAAAACGATGATAAGTTGATTTCTCAGAATTTGCGTCAATTTTCGGATAGTTTTTTGGCTGTTTATCAACTAAAAAAATTGAGATTTGTATTTTATGGGGAAATAAATTTGAATTTTATGCGGCGTAAATCATGAAAAATCAACTTTTTCCCAGGAAATCTGTTTGAAAGTATTTCGCAAAAAAGCTTCTTTGATAAACATTCTAATTTCAATTTGCCTGGATTTTCGTCAAATGTTTGTTTCTAAAAGACTTAAAATGAGGAAAATTTGGTATATTTTTAATTTTCTGCAATACAGAACTTTGAAAAAGATAACTGAGAAGTATTAAAAATTGATTTCTTACAACTTATTTCGATAAAATGTACTAAAAATCTATTTAAAATCAACTTTTTAATAGAATATTTTCTGTTTATCTGCAAATTTTGCCATTTATCAGTCAAAATTCCAAAAAAATATCAATAAAACCAATAAAAATTCACCAAATAATTATTATATGGCGATAATTGGCATTTTTTCAAACCATTAGCGGCTTTTTGAGTTAAAATTTGTCAAATTTCGCAGCGAAATTGACGCTAAATTTTCAACTTTCTTTCTTAAAAAATTGCAACTTTGTCTTTTCATAGTTATCTATTCACCCGTCGATTTGCAGCCATCCAATTCACCCTCCGCCCCGTGGTCAGGTGAGTGCAGAAAATCCCAACAATTACCCTCCAAGAGTGGCACATTCTGAGTTCAATGTGCGCAATTTGGTTTAATTGAATTCTGCACTGACCATAATTGCAATAATACAGGAAAGCTCAATAGAACGATGATTAAATGTTGTACTTGCGAGATAAAGCAAGGAGATTGCCAGAAACAATTGGTGTAATTTGAAACTTCAACTCAATACAATTTCCAGTGAATACAAAGTTTTCAAACTAAATACAACGTTTTTGTGGTAAGACACAAATGCGGGAATCTCATTCAATATTCCCAAACTCATGAAGAACACTCGATACACATCTAAAAGCTCTTCCAAACCAAAAACAGATAAGTACTTCAGCCGCAATCCCAAGTAATCTAAATTGTGCAAACGAAGGGACGATAAATTGTATTAAACGAGCATTACAACATGCAATACAAGCGTGAGTGACATTTCTGCATATTATTTGTCGTTGCAACTTTATAGAATTCCTATTTCACTTCATAATAGCTACGAAGTTGGCATGCTTTTCATAACTTATATTAGCGAAGTTTGTTTCATACGAATTTCAGCTGTCAAAACTTCATTTATTTGCAGACACTTAAGAAAATCACACGTAAAGTGAGAGATTTGCTTATTTAGAGTGTTTTTCGAGCAAAATATTCCAAATTGCGTCCATTTTCTGCCCATTTTCTTCAACTTGGAGGTTAAGAATTGTTCTTCTGTGCAAATGTTACGAATATTTCCGTATTTCCCTCAGACTAATCTCAAGAAACTTCCAGGAGCTTTCAGCAATTATCGAAGGACGTTTTCAACGTGAAGAATGAGTTCAACAGGGAAAAATTGTGATTTTTATTACCAAAATCCAATCAATTTCGCTGGAAAATGTCAAAAAACGTGCGAAAAACACATAACCTCAATCTGTGAATCTGTCAGCTTCATGTCTCGTGGAAAATAAATTCTCCACATTCGTAAATGTTATGAATCGCTAATCTTGCAACGAAGTTTTTCGAATGAAAGTTATTTAAACGTCTTAAGCAACATAAAGTGTATTATTGGATGTTAAATTGCGAGAAAATACTTCATTTAAAGGCAAATTCTCCCCGTTGTGGATAAAGAAATGAATTTTAACAAGATTATATATACTGTTCTATTCTTTTTCCCCAACTGTGTCAGTCTAGGAAGAAAAAGGAAGTCTGGCGGCGGAGTAAAGTGAAATAAATGAGGGTAAATCTCATGGAGTGAATAAATATTGAAATATATATGCTAGAGAGTGAAATGGGAAGCGACCAAAATGCTCCGTTGTGGATTATTGAGATAAGAGAAGTGAAATTATCCATCAAGGGCGGATTCAGGCGACCCAGAGAGAGAGATCTTTAATGGGATTTCAAAGTGCGATTCACGCCATCCAGTTGAATAAGAGACACACATTGAGAGATGGAGTGAATTGAGAAACAAAGGGATTTTCTGACTTTCAACCCACCCGTTGTGATCCTCAATTTCGTCCTGCGAAATTTTCGCGCCGCACAGACTCCAATTCTCTGTCCAACAGTGAACAGGAAAAAAATATCTCACACCACAGAAGGACACACTGGCCGAGTGCAGATGCTCCGCTGCCAGTGGAAATCCCCGTGACATCGTGGCTGGCACACTGTGTGGCTCTCACATGGGCGGGAACAATGGCTATGATGTCGTGTACATCATTGTGAGAGTAAAACACACTCTGTGCAATATCATCATATTGAAAAGGGACTCAGAGCACATCGCTAGAGGATCGACTGACTGCTATTCAACTCCACATTCTCCACGAAATATCCCAATGAACTCCTGACTTTTCCTCCATCGCAATTTCCAACTGCAATTTCACCCCCAAAACACAACCTTTGTGGAGTGCACCTCGCAAATCCTCCAAAGTATTCACGTGGGAGAACTCCAAATAATTACTTCTCCTCAAGCTCAAAACCGCGATAAATTTGAAAACCTCCCTCAAAACATGCGAAATTCCTCCAATCACTCAAAAGCTCTGCTCAAAAGTAAGATTGAATGCGTGGCAAAAACACGCCACGTGAATTTATGCCAATTATACTGTCAATTTTCTCATATCCGCAAATTGACGAGGGAAATTGAGGTGAGACTGAAGGTTTTTCTCTCTCCCTAAAAACTAATCCAACTTTTTTCCTCCACCGTCTCACAATTTATTTGCTCACCACGTAGAAAAAGGACACACAAGGAGTGGCAAAAGAATCATTTTCAAAAAGAAGAAACTTTCATCAAAACTTTACTTCTCATGAGAGTTTTGTCAATGTAAAGAAAAATACAATTAGATAACATTGACAGACAATTTTATGATCACTTTGAGTGGGAAAATAAATGCATTTCAGGGAAAATAGTATTCTTTTCATCCCTCTGAAATGCAAAATTCGCCCCCAAAGTGAGAATAAAGTCAAAAAATCCAACTCACGAGGTGAATTTTTCCTTTTATCGCTTCCCATAAAAATATTTACATATCTGTGAGGGGAATTTTAGGGTTATTTTTCCACTAACAGTGAAAGAAAAATTATGTGAAAATGGCAATTTTCTAGTAGAAATTGTTGTGAAAATCATCTTGTCCACAAGAAAAACACAATAAATCGTCTGTTGTGAGGAAATTTCAATGAAATTAAGTACTTTTCTAAGTAGAAAAGATCCTTTTCGATCTTCTTACTTAATGAATGCTTCTGCTGATGATTGTTTTTCTGTGGTTAACCTCAAATCCTCTGTGTGACCGCATGTGATAATTAAGCCCATCTAATCATCTATTAATAACAGTTTACAACATTAATGACGACAATATTAATTACATTCCAGTGATTTACTGCTGAGAGACAGAGAGAAGAAAGTTATTACTCCTCTGAGGCACATTTTGTACAATTTGTCGCCCTGAAGCACCGGCAAAAGATGCTGCATTCACAACCAAGTCGTGTCAATTAATTAAAAAACATACTAAAGCATCACATGTAAATTGTCTCTCCCTTTGCTGGGCTTTATGTGGAAAAGCCTCGCACTTAATCGTACTTTAGCGCAGTGCTCAAGCGAAAATAAAGGAAATTCTCTCTCTCTCTCTCTCTCGGAGTTACAATACGATTTTGTCGTCATTTCTCACAATTTACAATAGAGACATTCGCCAATTGTACATTGAAGAAACGATATTGCTTCGTGCTCTGTAATGAAATGAGAATGTATGTAAATTGGGTCGTCAAAGGCGCGCACACTCTTGTCAAGTCAACCCCTTTTTGCATATACAACAACTCCTCTCTGGGATGTCTAAACTTAAAGAATTTTCACCACTTTATACCCAACTATACGGCGCACATTGTCTCAGTGGCTGATCAAAGATTCGCAACGAATTCCAATTGTCGGCTCAAGTGAAATAACTTGCTAGTTAATTGCACTGAACACCCTCATCGTCAGACTTTCCACCCACTCACACATTTAGCGCCCGAAGGGAAGCCTTTTGCTGGGAAATTGACTCCAGACTTTCATCTCAATCCATGGGATTTTTGCCAGTACAGCGACACAGTGTCTATCTTGCGTGGGTTCTATTTAATTTTCTCATTTCACACGCACACACAGACACTCTACACAGAAAGAAAAGATAGATGAAATGGTGACAAAGTTTGTTAATCACGGTAGTAATTGCTTACTTTACGAAAAGTTACAAAAAGTATGTAAAAAGAAGTAATTTTTCGTAAGAATTCGAACATTTTTAAGAAATATAATAGTCGTTTGCAAACTATTACGAACTTTTACCACTCATCATTGACCGCAGCATTAGCTGTTTTTTTTAGTAAATTTCTTTTTGTTGCTTCTGTTGCAGCTCAGTTGTCAAAAGATGGTGGAATAGCGCGTAATATTATAGTGAAAAGTGCAGCAATTCAGTAAATAATGCTGTTTTTCAAATACGGCTAACAGCGAGAATCTCGTCAGGAGGAGAAGGCCGCCATGACAGTGACATTCCCGTCACAAGTTCTGAGTGTTTTGCCAATTGGTATAAGGTATTCGACTTTCAATTCACGTATTGTCCAGGACAATTCCACAGTGCCTCAGAAGTTGTCGAGGATGCAAAGAAGACATCATAACCTCACAAATTTGCCTCCAAATGGAATTTATTCCGGGCAGCGTTGGAAGAACGCTGCCTTCGAGAGTTTTGCAACGAGCAAAGTCACAAACGCACCACAAGAACAAGAACAGAAGATTCAGTGTGCAATTTTCACTTTCTTAAAGATGGGAAAAGTATATTTAATAATCCGAAAGTCTCTTAATAGATTCTTATTCATGATTAACCGGATAAATTCATATTATTTTTTTAAGACATTTTATGTCAAATCTAAAGAAATTCAAGTTCACTTTCTAAGTTAAGAACTCTGAAAACATTTTGTTAGTAAAGCATTTGTTACAAATAAATTACGAATGGCAAGTAAAAATTACAAACACAAATTTTCATTCGTAAAATATGTGAATTAGACGATTTTGTAAAGAAAAAAATTACAAAACCTGACAAACATTTACCCGGAAAACATTTTTACTGGATTTTTCCATACGATTTCAGAAATATTTTACAAAATTTCACAAGTTCCTACTAATTTTTTTCTTTCTGTGTATACAAACTACAATATATCTCTTCTACATATGTGGGAAAGAATCCCTTCAACAATGTTGTATCCTTTCCTGTTTCACTGCCACAAACATTCTCACTTCCTTGGTTGTCAATGGCCTGACAGTGCCAAACCATATCATCTTTATTTCCACTCCTTTTACACCCTCAAAACCCACCCACACTTTGGGGCTTTTCACGCAAAATTCCGTTTTACACACAAACCCTCAAACATGAAGTCAATGGGACTTTTGCCACTCTCTCTCTCAATTCTCTATTCTCTGCAAAGAGTGAACTTCTGATGTGCAAAGGAAAACAGCACTAACGAATGGTTATTCATATTTCTAAGGCGATTATAAATATGTCGAAGAATTCTTGAGAAATTCATCATTTCCACCGCAATTCAACGAGACAAAGTAACTTATAACTTACACAAAATATATAATATAGATAGCAAGAAGCTCCGTTGTAGATTGAATGGTTGAAAACTTTCATATATGGTGAAATGAGAAATTCAATATCTCCTCTTGCTGATGAATATTTGCAACACTCATCGAGGAATATTTAAGTTACAAAACTCACAGAATATTCATATACGATACATATATTAAAAAGCCATGTCCGGATATTGATTTTCATAATTTCTTGAGTAAAACGACGCTGTTCCTCTCGAGAAGCTCGTGTGCTTTTTTGAAGAGGGATAAACTACACATTATGTAACATATATAACGTCAATCAATAAATCAACCTTACTTTATGCCATAAATATATATAGATAGATATATAATTTAACATGAGCTTCAATGCAAACGCATTCATTGAAGTCTTTCTCTCTCTCTGTGTCATGTTGTGAACTGTCATGAGAGGAAATTGAAAAGAGAAATCAACATGAAGGAAGAAAAAACGTAAGGAAAAAGCTGTTATTTGAGAACGTGCAAGAAAGATTTAAACTGAAAGCATTGTAGAAAAGGATACTTGATATGTTGTTCAATATCATTGGTGGAACAAAAAGGAAAACATGTAACAATAGGAGAAGCTTTTTCGCAATGTTCTCAGAACATCATAAAAGAAGAAAAAAAACTATAGACATTGTGAAATATAAGTGTGATTTTATGTAAAAGTTATGGCGTTTAAAAGCTCGCTTACCCTCACCATCTGACTTCAAATAAAGTTTCCCTCTAGGACTCAAATTTGAACGATGCACTTGTATCCTTTCTGCGAACAACACACGGCGTTCAAACAGTATTTAATTATGCAATTAGTACACAAAATGCTATACATCATTAATTACACCGATGATTGTGATTGAGATGGAGAAGTTTAACCACTCTCTGGGTGTTGTTGTGTCTCTCAACGCATGAAAGCAACGTAAAATGATACATACATAATATGATTTGCGAACATGATGGGAAACACTGGCTTAATTGGCATGAAATGTGTGAGGAAAATTGTCATATGCGAGAATAAATACGAGTGAAGCGGAAAATATGAAAATTTTGTGCTAATTTACCCCCAAAAACAGCTTCTAATCGTTCATTAAAGTGCTAATATTGCTCTGTAATAATTATTTTGCGAATGTTTTAGTTGATTTTATTGGTATTTATGGGAATTTCTGAACTGAAATATGACAAAAATAATCGATAAATTCTATTTTAAGACTTTTCTAATTCATTATTTAATCCCAAAGTCATTTTTTAATAGAAATAGTGCGGTTTTGTTCATCAGTTGACCAAGTTTTCTTATAACATACAAATCTCATTTTTTTGTAATTAAAACAGTTCAAAAACTTCCCAAAAATTCATAAAACTTGTTATATGATAAATCAACTCTTCATGTTTTCCATTTTCCGCTCGACATGGAAATTTTATCTACAAAATCTACTTAAAATATTTATATGTACAAAATTATGATGAAAAGAGAAATATTCTCTGTATTTTTCATATGCGATTTTATGGGATTATCAGTAAAAAAAAAAAACAGTTTTTAACACGAATCCATCAACACTTGTTATAATCATTCAATTAATTAACCCAATAATCTCTCAACAATCAGAATATTTATTGACGACAAATCCCATCGATTAAGCGATTGGCTTTGTGCAAAATTCCACTCTAATGCAATGAAACAAATTAAAAAGCTACACGAAAATGTTTGTGGTTGAATTATTAATTAGTCACGCACTTATTAAAATGTCACCATCATTGATACACAATGTCACAATTAAATTGTGCATCAACGGTGATAAATAGAATATCTCTTCATGAATCTACGGTCAATCGCAGTGGATCTGATATAAAGAATTTATTATGCAAATTATATTGACTGGGTGTAACGCAATAATTCACCATATCTCAACTCTATCGACACCAATTCCGCTACAATCAGTGACAAATTAAGGACACCTTGGCGCTGAAGCATAAATCAATAAATGGTAATAACTTTGGATAGGGTTGTGTCAGTGAAATTAATTCCACTTTCTCCCTGTGTCGCGCCCAAATCCACCCTTAATTTGAATTCGATCATGTATATTATGGAAGAAGACTCTTAAGTCGTCCTTTATTTGCATTTCAAAATATTTCCTCAATCCTTCCATCTGTGAATTTTCCGACAAATACAATGAATTGGTAAACATACTTCACCCCATTTAGAATACCCAAATTACTCTTATTATTCTCCTAAAAGAAATTCCGCATAGGGGAAAATGGAGCAGTTTCGTTTTATGAAATGTTCTCAGAGATTTTCACATGAATCAATTGCTATCCTTCATACAATATTTGTAGTCCTTAAAGTCCACAATTGACGAAAATTTGCACAGGATAGCCTTTACTGTTTAGATGAAATAAGTGAAAATTGAAAATCACTCACAAACGAGAATTTTGTTACCAATTTGATTATGTGTTTTTTTTTCATTAAAAATGCTACAATTTACGTGAAAAACTATTGTGGCCTATTGATGGTTAAGTAGAGATCCAAAAGCACTTTGACATAACCTCACTTATGCTTGGCGCTCGAAATTTTCTTATGAAAAATATTGAAGGTTTTTCACAAAGTGCTGTTCTGTGCTGCATTGCTTCATCATGTTTATCGACTTTTACGTTGAAAAATTAGGAATTATACGCGAAAATCACTGATTAGAGCAGAAATTTCGAGAAGCAGCGTGTCAAGTTGCCACTACTGATGTTTGGTGGCGTTGCAATACGTGAGAAGGCAACTTGCTTCTCGCTCAGAAATTTTGACATTACGTGAAAGGGTCGAGAAAAGTCGCTAAAATAGTAATTTAAAGACAATTTTTAGAGAATTAAACAGTCACAGTGTGTAAATTAGACATCAAAGTGAACATTTTCCCGCGAATTAACAATTCCGTGATGCAATTTATGGTAAATAAAAGTGTATTCTAACTGAGGGGAAATTATAGAATAATCACATCATATTTTCATTCTACTTTAGAGGAAAAACGATCAGTTTGAATGCCTAATGAAAGGAATTTTTTGAATTTCAATTGACAAGAGTTTATTTGAGCGTTGTGATTATTGCAATATATTCAGCCGATTTTCAAGAAAATATTCTAAAGTTGGAACGACATTTTGGCTCTGACACTGCCCCACTTGCCCCTACATTTTTTGGTAAGCGCAGAAAGACAGCAAACAATTTTCCATGGACTGAATAACTTCACTTCTCAAATTCAGCCAATGCTTGAGAAGTCTCTTAGCTCCGGAATTGACATTTTTACAAGTAAATCTCATACATTTTCCACTGTCCTTCAGCGTCAAGAGCAACTGCAGATTGCATGGAAAAGCATGTCTTCGAGAGATGCTGGACCGCAGCGGAAAAGTCTCATCTTTTTGTTATCTTCTCATGCACACAAACACACACACACACACACAGATATATGTAATGCGCAGTGTGAAAGAATGATGCAAAGTTGCATTAAAGGACGGAAGGATGGAAACTGCACACAAGTGAGAGATTCACTGAATTATCTCACACCTTCGAGGGCATATAAGGAGTGTGTAAAGGGAAAATCAATGGATATGTTCCAGGAAAACTTCAACTATGCTGTCGGCAAAAACCGCTTACATAGAGTGTGAGAAGCGTAAAAGTTCCTGCAGTCAAACTTAGTTTTTATTTCCCTCACATTTTTCCCCCTTTTCTCTCTCCCTTTCTGCCTCACTCTTCGCAATGCCGTGGAATTTGCGAGAGTATAACATTAAAGACATTTCTGAGGTAAATATGCAAAATCAACTGCATGATTTATGATGAATTTCAGCAGAATTTTCCAATGATTTACCACCAATGCTCTGAACAAAATAGCACATAATCTGCCACAGGAAAAAAAGGGGGCGAGATAAGAACCACTGAACATACTTTTAAATTTGTACGCAAACATTCAACAACCCCAGCAAACACTTTGAGCTCAGAAACTCAACGTTGTGCTCGCTGAATCTGCTTTAAAATGCTCAATTTTGAGGTTAACATCTAAGCGGCTGTCGCGATCGCTGCGGAAATTAGCTGAAACTTAGTACTCGATCGGGTTGCCAGATTATTGTTGTCAAAAGTGACACCAAATGTTCTCAATTGACTTGGAATATTTGGATTGCCAGATGGAAACTTGTTTCTCCAATTAAACCTATTTTAGTAGGCTAAACCGTGATTTTAACCACCAATTAAATCATTTACTTTCTCCATTGCTCAGAAATTACATATTTTCTTCATTTTCCATTGCATTTCTTATCGGAAATCTATCATTTCGATTGATTTATTTCAGTGAAAATGTCAAAATATTGAGAAAATGAGAGCAAGTTTTAGCTTCTTTTTGTCTCAGCGTTTGCTCAATTCTGAGCATTTAAACTCAGCAATAAATCAGCAGAAAAACATGCTGATTTTAGGTGAATGTGTTCGCTGGGATAAAACAGCATTTCTACAGTCGCGCCATCAGAGTGGATATTTTGTAGGTGATGGCAGGAAAATGTGTGAGATTCACCTTCAAAACTCTCTCTATATATACATATTCATATATAATTTGAAATTTGTTATCCTTCCCTCTCGACACATTCGTTTTTTTTTTTTTTACTTCTTCTCTCAGCCCCGCAGCAAATTCCCGCATGACATAACACCATGAATGTGATTCTAAATATTTCAACATGTACATCTGTTTTTGCCTCTCTGCAACCCCTCGAGCATCCCCCACACGCTTCCACCCCCTCATTCGCCCTGGCAAAAACAAGCAAGTGTCACCCGGTGTAATGGAAAAACATAAATCCAAGAGCCTCTCCTTCAATAACACTGACATGCACATACAACCTCCAATCCCATTGATATGGTGAAGGAAAACAGAGCCAGAGCGCGTCACACAAAGTCTCCACATACTCGATACAAATCTCCATTATGCTATTTTCAGCCATCCAACAGCAACACACAGTCGTGTAGCAGAAACTTTACGCAACAATAAAAATCAATCAGAAGAAAAGTTAAAGCCTCTGTTGGCGTCAAAAAGCCCTTTCCTCGCGTCACCTTTTCCGTCTGCTTTCGCGATGAATAGTTCGTTCTTCACCCTCCACAAAATCATTTTATACTTTCACACACCGCCTTGTCATAATACACACTCTCTCTCTCTCCCTTGCATTATAGAAATCCCGACAGGAATATGAATTTGTACATCAGCCCAAGGAGAGTGTGAGAAAGAGAGTGAAGAGTTACCATTATTTATTAACTTTCTGTGTCCGCTGGACGGTAAAACGAGAGAAATTTTGTATAGAGATCCAATAAATAACCTCTCGTCAGACTTTTCCCCTTTTGCGTGCATACTTCAGGCAAACCTATGCCGGAGACGTGCACAAAAGGAAAGGAGAACCCACAGAAATATCCTCAATAACGAGCAAAGTTGAACTCACAATCTGACATAGATTAAAGATCACTTAATGCACTGTCTAAGTTTCACACACTTTCCCCCGATTAGAGGTAAGAAAAGTTTCAAAACCAAAACTTCTTTGCAAGTTTGCACAATTTTCCCCCACTTTTCACATGATTTTCATTCATGCAAAACCTATCAAATTAATTATTGATTTTCTCTTGATAAAATCAATGAGATTAATTTAATTAAATTGCAAATTGCATTGGACAGATTAAATAAATAAACCCTGCGTAGTTAATTAAAGCTCAATTTGTGCTTTTTCCATGAAATTAAAAGCATCAAAACTAATTTATCGCCATTCATC